AGCACCGAATTGGGGACGCGAGTTCATATTAACTCAACTCTCCATAAGAACCATGTAGCCAACATGGGAGTTAACGAGTCATACTGTTTAGATGAACCCGTAAGTTAAGCTAGTGGATCCACTTAGTAAAGTTAGCTTCCTATATCACGGCAAGGTATAGGATGGTCCTCGGGCAACGTGAGGTAAAACGTTGTATCACCACTCAGATTCGTAGTGGTGGTTTGTCGGTTAGAGAAGCTCCCACAGTAGAAAGAGCATGGTTCCTCGAGGGTTCTGCTTAGTGTGGATGGGGTATGGGACTTCATTCATGCATTGCACAAGTAGACTTTGAGAGGAAGCATGGTATTTTTATGATATTATAAATATGCTTTTTGACGTCATGTTTTAAATTGTTTTACAAGCTTTATATCTATTGCATGTGTCTTATTGCTTTATATATTGAGTTCAGTTATTCATGAGTTGAACAGAGCCAAGGTAAGTTCTCTTTTGTATCCCTTTCAAGCTTAAGTTGTAGTTTAGCTGTCCAGCTCTCATACTCGTACATTCCATGTACTGATGCCAGTTGGCCTGCATCTTATGACAATGCAGACACATGTACCCCGGATCAGCATCCTGTATGCTGTTGATCTAGCTGAGCACTCCAGAGTCAGTGGTGAGCCTCCTTGCTTTCCGGAGGACTCAGATATTTTGTTTCTTTTAGTTGTGTTGTTAGGATGTTGCGGGGTCTGTCCCAACATCCATCTCAGTATGTTAGAGGCTTCATAGACAGTCAGTCAGTTAGTATTGAGTCTCTCATCTATGTATATATGTAAATATTCTATTTTGAGACTCGAGTTGCCTTTTGGCATGTTATGCATCAGGTGGTTGTTTTATAACCTTTCATTGCATTGAGTTATTCTATTGAGTAAGGTTTCCGTTGAGTTAAGAAAGCCAGACCAAGGGTTCGCTTGGGGCCAACGATGGTCTCCGAGTGCCGGTCCCGCCCAGGGTGTAGGCTTGGGGAGTGACAAAACCCTTTCCTAGTTTTGTATACTTCATAGTTCTTTTATGTTTTTCTATTCAGGTGTTCTTGGCTTTTTTTTAGTGTTCATGAGCTAGACTCTGGTTGGATATTTGAGTAGCTGTTAATGTTTCTGTTGTTCTTGTTGTTCATATTTCGTTATAAGTACTCCTAGCTTTCGTGTTGCTCATCTAGTTTGTTCTAAAGAGTATTGGGTATTTCGGTTCTAGTCCTTACACTTGTTCCTGTAAATGTTAAGTATCCGATTTTGCGTTTATGCATCTAAGAAGTGTCACCTGTTTGGTTTGGTCTCTCTGCCAAGAGTTTCTGATTCTATCTTCCCTTATCATGAACTAGTTGTTGTTTGCTTTGTATGTTAGGTATTAATACCTCTTCTGCTTTAAACAATATAATGTTATGATTTTAAGAGTATTGAATTAATTATTGATTATGAATCAGTGATGTGGCTTATTAATTAATTCAAGTGTTCTTTCAATTCATTGTTTGGAGTTTCGTTATTTCGCCTAGTGTCGTTAATTAATTCAAGTGCTCTTTCATTATTTCGTTTAATTTCACCAGGTCGTCTGTATACTGTAGTTCAGTTTGAGCGTCAGTTTCAGTTTCTTATTTGCAGTCTTTTCTTAGTAGAATTTCGTTTAATGTAGAGCAACAATGTTTGGGTTTGTTTAATATCATCGCATTACACTAGCGGGTCGGCTTTTCTTGTTATTCTTTTGGTTTATAATCTTTTTTTTTGTGGCATAAATCTGAAAGTTGCATTGTTATATTGTATAAATCAACTCTCTGCTGCTCGATAAATTATGGTTTTTTAAATTTAAATTTTATCAATCTAAGTTAAGTTGTCATGGATTTGAGTCTAGCACAAAGTAAGTTATGATTCCTTTTGTTTAGAGCGAGTATTTACCCCTCCTCTCGGTTAGTTTCATGACTCCAATGTGGCCCTATCTTGTCTATGACTATGATCCAAATAGCTTGGTTAAATGTTGAGTTTAAATAGTCAATATGTTAGGATACGAGAATAAAATAAAATGTTCCTCTCTTATCAGTAGATATATTACTTCAGTTCTAAATGAAGTGGCAAGTGAATGTGCATATTCTTTCTTTAAGTTATGAATTGACTGATTGTTATGTTGTGCTAGGGTCACATCCCTCTTTTGTTTAAACTTTGTTTTAGTAAGGTTATGAGCTCATATGTCTTCATAATTGACTGACCATTAGATGGCTTTCTTACTCTGTATAGTTACATTTTATCAATTAAGACTTCGTTAGTCTTCTGTTGCCTATGACTATAAGATGTTGATGGTGTTAGCCACTTTGCCTTTAGATGTTCTCTTTAGTGAATATTGACGGTGTGACTTTATCTGATGAGAGCTGAATCGATATATTTATTCATGATTAATTATTAATCCTCATCTTATCATTTTTGTTGCATGTGAATTTACCCCGATTCCCACAGATTTCTTTCCTCATTTGCATTTCGATAATCGGGCCATGGAGGCCCAATTCTGCCCTTTTATCGAGTCAGCCAGTAAAGGGAATAAATGTGCAAGGCTGGAACATCAAAAATACAGATCCCGGGAGCCAAAAACACACTGATGTACAGTGTGATACACAGATATACATCAGCCGTATACGCTGTATATTACATCGAATATGGGCTAAAGGAGCCCCAAAATTTCAGCTTTGTGTTTTTGTAATTATTGGGCCAAAGACTCATTTATTTTGATTATTTTGTTAGTTTAGGACAGATGAAAATTGGGCCTAAGGCCCAAAGAGAAAGTCAGTTGCTTTATGTTTAGTTTTAGGACAGGTACAAAATGGGTCAAGGGCCCAAAGTTGAATTTAGGCCCAAGTACCTCCCCAGGCGGATAGAAACCGGGCTTGGGCCCAAGCCTTCCCTTCCTTATTATGTAATTGTTGATACTTGTTTATTTGTTTATTTGGTTTTGAGGTTTTCCTAATTCGATTCCCTGAAGAGACCATTTTGAGTTAATACTTATATTTTCTAAGATTATCGATTTTCTACTTAACCCTCTAAAGAATATTTGCAAATTTTACTTAAATATTATCCTTATACTATTTCCCTTTCCTGTAAAAAATAATTTCAAGTCTTAAGTTTGTTTATTTCTAAACTAATCAAGTATGCTTATCTTTTAAAAATGATTAGCCAAATATTTTAATTGCCGGATAACCGCGTGTTAGCGGGCATTTCGGGTGCTTTCAAACCCTTCTCGAAATGCTAATATGAACCCCGAACTCCATTTTAATATTTTCATTAGATTTCTGTTTTAATCTTTTGAAAAAATAGTTTTCTTGATTTTTCTTAAAAATTACCTGGCGACTCTTAATGTATATGGTCACTACTCACTATAATGGGATTGCATTAATGCACATGATTACCATAATTATACACTGCACATATTATTATTATTAAAATTATAAATAAATAACGATGACAATTAATAGAAATATTATCACTTTGAGGAAAAACCTATTCGGAATGTACATTTCCAATTTGACACTACTACACCAATTTCAACTTGAGTCCTCACATGCTAAGGAGATACAAAAACTAGAATAACTTGATGGTTTTTCCATTATTCATTGTCATATTTTATTGAAGAAACATTAGAGAAAATGATTATTGTTGTTCTGGCATAATTATCCTCATATTTTGACAGGTTCAACCAGTAACAAGTTAATTATGTTTTTAAGTTTGCCTTTGGAGTTTGTGTATCCATCTTCTTCTTTATATAGAGTGTCCATCACACGTGCAAAATTTAAAACTCGTTCGAGAACAAATATTGGTACTTCAGTTGGACGAAAGAGGAGTTCTTTGTTTATGTCCTTCCATCCATTGACAACTTCTTTATGATACTTAGTATATGCCTCTTGCTTCGACGCTCCATATTCTGCCATATAGCATTCAATACTTGAAGCTACATGTCCTCTTAGTTGTTCATCCTACATCACAATAAGTGGTTACAATTAATAGAATGAATATCAATTACTTAATTAAGGTATTGTTATACTTACTTCATGTCCAATGATATCGTCCATTCCTCTATTAATTATCGATGCTGCACGAACTATTAAAGGCTCATTTATTATCCATTCAAAAGTCTCTATGCTTATAAATTCGTCCATACCGATCAAGGAAGTTGTTGCTGCCATCATATACCCACAACTTACAAGTGCATTCTTCATATGCTCCTCACATTTTGGAATATAACGAGCATCCAACCATTGAGCTTCCTTAAAATAGGCTCTTACCAACTTCTTCATCTAAATAATTAATTAATGTAAAAAATAATATATTAGTCTTTTGGAATGAGAGTGATTTAATTTATGTGGGATTATAAGTTAAAGAAATTAATATTACCTCATATTTTGCATAGTATACACGGTCCGATTTACCTTCTTTAGCCAATAATTGTTCCATTTCATTGTAAACGTCAATAAGGGCTTGATAAGCAGGTCTCATATATGGCGGTAGTGAATCAATCACACTAATGTCCCATCTAAAAATTAAATCAGTTTTATTTGTATCAAAATTAACTACAAGCTACTGAATTTTTATGTCTTGCACATGATATTGTATATATAGCATTTCTTAATAACAACATCAAGATATGTTTTTTACACTAATTCTAGATTACCTCTGGATCGCATCAGTGAACGGCACAAGTTCGTCAAAGGTTGCATAAGCATCATACGTGTCATCAATAATTGAAGTCATCTTGATTACTTTTGCCATCATTTTTCTTGCACGACTATATTTAGGCTCAAAATACACTCCTAATATCCAAAAGTAACACTCAACGAGTCTGTCTCTTGCATGCGGATATTTGTTTGCGAAATCCAAATCTTTCCACCACCTACATGAAAAGATCTGCAGTTAATTTGTTGCATTTCATTTTTATTGTTTAATTAATCTAAAATTATGTACTAGTACCTTGTTAGCTCGCTAAGCTCACTCTGATGCAGCTTTTGGAGCGCGTTAAAATCCAATTTAGCAAATTTCAAAAGCAAATGGTTGTGTGCATCATTGTGTTCGTAAGTGGATATGTATTTCCTAGCTCCCACCCTTGGTAAAGTCTTGCGAATAGGCTGTTTTAAGGCTTCAGTAACTTCAACCTTAAGAGAGTTATTGCTCAAGTTGGAGACAATAGACTCGAGATGATTGGTGGCAAAGGTAAGAGCTTCTTCAAGAATCTCCTCATCGCGCATTCTCAGATGTGATGCTTCATACAAACTTAATAAACCTTGGACATCATTAGTAAGTGTTTCCTTGAATTTTCCATCTTGGTCCATGAATTGCTTGAAGACATCAGCTGCAGGTTGGTTAATTAATTAATATGTATATCATGTTCATCGTTAGTACGTAAGAAATTGAACTTTATTAATAGTTGTAGGACTACACCCAACAATAATAACGCAAGTCTATTAAAATTTAAGTAATTAAGTATAGTAATTAATTACCAGAAGAGATGTGATGTCCTTGTTGCCTCAGTAGTCGGAAACGAAGAGAAACAACGTAAAGGTTGCCATCAATATTCTCACTGTGTAGTTGGGATATTGTCGTATCAAAAATGTTTTGAATGGATGTTTTGATTTCATTATGGAAATGATATGCTACTCCCAGTTGTTGGATTGTGTCTATCAACACAAGTTTTTGAGTGCTATTGTCACAAGTTTCCACCAACATTTTCCTGAATATCTCTTCTAACTCATCAATTTCAACCTTTTCTTGGATACTTATTTCCTGCAGGACATCCAAAATTCAACATTACTTACTATAATTGATTATAAGTTTTAAATGCGTCGTGATTGTAATATTTCTCTAGTACAAAAATTAAGAAGGTATAGCATGAAAAATTAAGCAATAATATAATATAATAAAAAAATAGTATGTAATAACTCACAGGAGTATAAGAAAGGAAATGATAACCCCAAACAGTTGAGTGAAAATTAGCCAAGGGACGAGACTTATTAGGGGAAGAAGTAGTCATTGCTTCTTTTTTCAAGTTTAGTTTGTGGCTTTAAGTTATGCTGATCACCTATTTATAATGTACCTACCTAGATCCATTGAATTAAATTTTAAGGATTCAATTAATAATTTGTTATTGGTTCCTTAATTTTTGTAAAAGATTGCACATGTATATGTTAAATTAGGTCTTAGGCCTAACTCACACCCCAAAAGCTAGCTCAAAGGGAGGAGGATTGCCCAAGCCTTATAAGGAGTCCACCCATTTCATTAACCATCGATGTGGGACTTTTGTCATTCTTTAACAGTATAATTTTGAAAAGAATAGACATTTCATACTGTCACGATCCGAGCCTACACTCTGGACGTGGCCGACACTCGAGAACCATTGTTGGTTCTCAAGTGAACCCTCATCCTGGCTGACTTCAAGCGGAAGACTAACTCAAGCATACAAAGCTTAAAAACTGAATAAAATTCATGAACTTAAATAGAAAGCTTTAACTCAAAAGAAAACTCCGAATAAAACAAATTATTCAACTCGCCATAAAGTAAGGAAAGAGAAAGAAGCTTATAATCTTACATTTGATCTACTATAGCTGCTTTTATAATGACTCAATAATGATTCAAATGACCTTATAAATAAATGACAAAAAATTGGCCAAAATAGTCCTTGAGGTATATAAAACGATAAGTAATTATTATAAGGAAAATGTTTCATTTCAAAAGAATTATTAACTTTTGATCATTTACTAACGCAAGACGGCAAGAGTTTCCCCTCTGCTGACAACTCATTTTCCAAGTGTCATATTTAATTCATGAGTTTGTCTATGTTATTTTATTTCTCCGCTAATAACTTGGCTATTCATGTATTTTCTAATTAAATAAGAAAGACTTGTTTAATTTTGGGGAAACATTTCACACCGTTAAAATAATTTCTTAGGACAATGCCCAACACAGTTCAAGTATTAATATTCTATACTATTATTTATATATTATGATAGTAATATTTATCTAAATTTGAGTATTATTATTTTGCTAAATATTAAGTTATATTATTATTAATGATTTTTTCATTATTTCCCAATAATTATTTTGGCCCTAAGTCCTAAAACTAATTATTAAAGTAAAAAAAATGTTTTGTTAAATTTAATTGCGGATCTCTTAAAATTGACACATCATTTTCCCCTAAATCTTCTTTCTTTCATCATTAGTAGAGGTCAAGCTCCATCCTCAATCACGTGACCAATGAAGATTGTGGTGGAGTGGTAAGTAGTACTCCTTCATCCTTAATCAAAGGTCTCAAGTTCGAGTCCTTTTAGATACGGAGTCATCTTTGTTAGAGAGCGCGCTTTACCTCTAATGTAAAACTTCCTAACGCGAAATCAAATTTAATTTAAACTAAGCAAATCAAATCAAATCAAATGGCAAAACTGAACGGACAAAGGTGGACAGTAGAATCTAAAAAAAATCTTTCGAAATTTGAAGAGATTTTTGTGTCAAAAGAAGGTTTGGGTAATGGAAATAATTAGAATAAAGTACCAACAATTGGAAATTGATTGGTTGAGGGAGAAGGGGGATCACTCAGATAAGGATCTATCCAGATAAGGACATTGATGAAGACCACAGAAGACGTTTGGGCGTGTTTGGTATCTAGGAGAAAATGTTTTTCAATTATCCTATATATATTTTTAATTGGTAAAAATGTTAAAAAAATTAATTATAAAATATTTATCAAATATTAGAAATTAATAAATAATTAAGATATCATTTTTTGTGAAAAAATATTTTCCTCCGTATCAAACACATGGGAGACTCAATGATTAGTGGATTTGATATTGTTCTTCATGATGACTCTGAACCCATAGATTATAATAATTGTATGTATATATATAATACAAACAAATCAACATTCGTCAAAATACTGATAAATTACATGAAAAAATATCTCCATATATATAATTAGTGGAATAGCTGACAAATCCACTCATAAACAGATTAAAATGAATTACAAATATTTACAATATTGGATAGAAGCTATGGAAGATATAAAACTATTAGAACAATTAATGGAGGAAAATTTATATATGTACCAAAGAACCCAAGATATGTTATATCTAGAATATATCATAAATAATATTAAAGAAATATTCAGATTAAAACAACTATTGGAAGAATATTACAATAAATATTACTACATATTACCATGAATTTAACACTACCAAAAAATAATATTAAAGAGATATCAAGATTAAGACACTTAGCAAAAAGATATTATAATAAAATCTTTAAAATAAGTTACTCACCTACCACACTACCACCTACCACACTACTACTTCTATGATAAAAAGTTATGAAACTTTAATCTTATATATACTTAAGGTAGAAACATACTAGTTTCTACCCAAAAGGAATTCAATTTTACTCAATTCAATCTTTGACTAAAAAACCTGAACTCCAAAGTTTTAATTCCTAGGTTTTAGATAAAATCTCATTTTTTTGGTGTTTTTATATAATGCTCGTGGTTCATACACCTATTTTGAAGTAACATATAAAAATGGGGTGAGACATTATCACAAAAATCCAAATAGTATTTATTATCTCAGAAATTAGCTAGTTTTTAAGATTGTAATGGATGATAGTGATAATTATGATGATGGTTATTGTTGATGGTGATTGACAATTTATAATTGTTGCTGATGGTGGTGGTTATCTGTAGCAATTAGAGTTTATTGCACCAATGTAAATTAGTGGTGATGATTTTAAATAGTGGCTAGTGATGGTACTGAAGGCTAACTGTGGTGATTGGTGGCGCAGAAGCAAGGGCGTATCTAGAGGGGGTGTTGTGGCTTCATGTGAATCCATGCTCCCTTCTCTAGATCATATATAATAGTGTTATATTTTAAAAACAATATAATTTACATATAGAGGTGTGAATCCACGTTCAAAGTATCATATAATAATATGATGATGATTGGTGCACTTCTATAAGTGAGGATAGAAATTTAAATCTTATATCTATCTTGTTTTTTTGAATAAAATCTCTCTAAGTGGTTATCGGTTACACTTTTGGCGTATCAACTAATTTTTCTTTTGTTTTTTGTCTTTAATCTTTCAAAATTTTCAAGTGTGTTACGTTAAAAATTCATAAAAATTTAGCACTGTAAAATTTTTATATAATTAAATCAAATTTGTATATTAAAATTTAAAACTAGTAATATTATATATTTTGGACCTATAATTTTTAAAATTTAATGGTTCATATTAATAATCTAAAATTCAAACCGATCAAATTTATATTTAAGATGCATTTTTTTGGTAGTCGTACACCCATCTCGCGAAAATCTTGGATAGAAGTAGTTGATGAGGATGGTGGTTGTAGGTGGTGGGAGTTGATATTGGTGGATAGTGGTTGTTAGTAGTGAAGAGCCATTTTTATAGAAATTCTTGAACTGACATATTAGTGATATTAAGATTTTGTTATATACTTCCTCTGTTCAATTATACTTGTCACTTATTTCTAAAATAGATTTTCATTTTTACTTGTCACTTTTGACATATCAAGAACAAACGATTATATTTTCCCATGTTTTACCCTCAGCATTAAATACTCTTTCTCCAAATCATCTTTTAAGACTTAATACTAAACAATCATTTAATATGAATAGTTTGGTAAAATACCTATATCAATAATTGTTTTCTTAATGGGTGTGTCAAGTCAAACAATGACAACTAAAAATGAACGGAGGGAGTATCTAAATCATTCAAATTCATCAGGTGAACAAAATTTTAAAAAACAAATTTATTCGTTGAGAACAATTTATACATCCGTGATTGGGGTTGAAAATTGTGTTTGGAGCGCATGTAAAAATCATATTTAATCTCAGTCACGTGTCTGAAGTTTTTTTGTCAATTTTTTTTGTTCTTTCGAGTTTCAACAATTCAACACTCAAATCTACTCCAAACAAGCTTTGATTTGAAACATAGATTCCATATATCATAAAGAACAAAGTTTAATCCTTAATTGTGAAATAATGACAAAATCTAACAAATTCATTTATAAGTCATACATGATTTTAAGTTTTTTATTTTTGTTTGAAAAACAACTCTCGATCATTAATTTGTCAAATAATGACAAATCTAACCAACTGGACTCTCGATCATTAGTATCATTTGAATTTTTTATTTATGACTGCACTCGGTACATATATGACTGGAACATTTGTTAAAATTGAATAAATTCAGTTTTATATGTCTAAATGCAGAAGCAAAACAAAAGCATGTGTTTTTGCATGATAATTACCTAAATACTGAATAGTCATGATTTTTTTTTTTTTTACTTAAATAGGAAAACTAAAACAAGCACTTCATGAAATTTTTAGTATATTAAAAAAAATTTAGTATATTAAAAACCAAAGGCATAAAGATTTCCATTGACTAGTAAGGAAAGGAAAAGTAGCTTTAATTTGATGGATATTGCATAGTAGCTTTTAGCCACTTTTATAATGGTCCAATACCCAAACAATTATGAATGTCGTTATTGAAAAAAAAATATTTTCACCCAACTTATTGTGTATGGTCTGATTTCTAATTTAAAAGCAAATAAATTCAAATTTTAAAATTTCATATTTCCATCTTGTCACTCAACGCTTCACCCTAAATTCTTTTATTTCTTGGAAGTTGAAGAAGAAAAGTAGTCTTCCATCATATTATGTCTAGAGGATTGTAGGTCACAATTTATAACCAATCAGAAGTAAATCTTTTTTTTAAAATTTTTTTATCACCATATGGTGGTGAGACCTCTATATTGATGAATAAAATTACAAAGCTAAGGAGAGCTTAAGCTCGGCCCATTATTCAAGTAGCTGCTTTGCAAAAATTAAGGAATCAACAAAAACTATACAAGTTTTGCACAAATTTATAAGTCCAGCGTAATAGACAAAATTAACTATAACATCTCAAGTGGATCAGTTATATACAAAATAATTTTTCCTCTGCTTATGCCTTAGGGACTCCATTTGTATGAGATCAAGTTTGTAAGGTCCGATGGCTATCGA